AGGCCCGGCCTTCCCTCAGCAGACCCAGGGCCACCCGCTGCCGCCTGCCCATTGAGCCACTCATACCACACCCTGTAATTTGATAATAATTATAATAATAATAATTACAGCCTGAGCGGGCTGGAAGTGCAGGAACAATAACCTGGGTAATGCCCTGCACGGTGGCGGGAGCAGCACGGTGGCACATGCCCCATCCTAGTGCCAAGAACACCCCATCAGGCCCTGCCCAATGCGTGGGGGGACACAGCCCAAGCAAGTGCCCTACATGTTTTTAAGCAGTCGTGTCCATGTCCCAGTGCTGTGGTTCAAGTCCCCAGGCTTTCCCACTGGACAGGACACCCTGTCAGAACCAGAGCTAGAGCTGGGGCTGCCCCCACTCCTGGTGTGCAGAGGGTCCCCTTAAAGTCCTGGTGCTCCCAGGAAGAGATCTCTGGCCCCAGACCCAACCAAGCCCTGCAGCATCCTGCATTGCTGACACGGCTGCTCCTGCTGCATGCAGGGAGCAGAGCTCTGCCCCCTCCTTCAGCAGTTATATAAAAGGATTAAAATTTAATATGAACTTCAAAAGGGGAAGAAATGGGTGGTCGAAAGCAGCTGGCCTGGGGCCGGGTGCTGAGCAGAGGCACCTTGGGACATGTCCCAGCTGTGCTGAGCAGCAGCACTGTGGCACATGGAGACACCATCCAGCCCCATCCATGAGGGCGAAGTGTCCAGGCACCATGGGCAGCACGAGCATCCCATGAACTCATGCTGGTTTTACTGAGCCATGGTTTCCCTGGGTCAACGTGCTGCACAGTTTCCATGGCATATGGAGACCCCATTCCCCAGGGTCAGGCCTTGCCCTGCACCTTCACCTCTCTGCTGGCATCCAGGCAGCCCTTGATAATTCACCACTCACAGGCACAGCATCACCCACCCTTCCTGGTGGCCACTGCCACCCTTCCCATCCCATGCCAGCAGTCCCCCAGACATCACATCTCCTCCTGCCCGGTGCCTGACATTTCCTTCCATGCACGTGGGTTGGAGTGTGCTGGAGAGCAGCTGGGGAAGCAAGACCCCCATCTGGGGGGTAGCTGATGCGCCCCTGCCCCCCAGCATCCCCAGAACCCGCGTGGCTGCACAGCATCCCGCCTGTGCAGCATCGAGAGCGGGGCTGCGCTGGCAGCAGGAATGAGCCAGGGCTGGGAAAACACCATCTTCCGCCCACACAACCGCCCACGGCCCCGCGCCCGTTCCACCGCCCCTGCCGCGCCGGGGCTCATGGGGAGCGGGCGGCAGGTGCAGGGTGGGGGCTGCACCCACCACAGCCGCCCATCCATGGGCAGGGCAGGGGACGGGGCAGGGGAATGCGGGCTCGGCAGCCCCCGGGGCAGAAGCCGCCCTGGGACAGGGTCCTGCCGCAGGAGCAGGGCTGGGCTGCGGGGCCAGGGCTGCGGGGACCGGGGCTGCCCCATATCCAGCTCTCCAGGAACTTCTCGCTGAGGGGCACAGGCACTCGCCAGCAAAGAGACTGGGGAAGCCTTTGGCTCGTTCATTTTTAATCCTGGCCAAGAGCAGGAGGGGTGTAGGCATGAGGCTTAGGGACGTTGCAGGACAGGACTGGCCTCAAAGAGCTCCCTCAACAGCCCACCTCATGCCATGGAGGTCTTCGGTCATGCATGTCCCTGCAGGATGGAGCCCCCGGGAGACGACAGCAACCACTGAGCATTCCTTGCCATTCTGTCTTCCCACACCTCACTATGGCTCAGCTCCCATTGCTGAGCGAGACCTCTCCCAGTGCCAGTGACGCTCTCCCAGTGCCAGTGACGCCCTCCAAGTGCCTGCAACGCGGGGGGCAGGATCTGTGCTTGAGCAGGAACTGTGGGCGCGTGGGAACACACAGAGAGCAGAGCGGGGTGGGAGGAGGGGGGTGCACGAAGCCAGAGCACTCCCCACGCTGCTCCTGATCCCTCACCTGGCAACAGGGACCACATCCCACCAGGGCAGGCGGGGGCAGGACCCTGGTGCCCACGCTGCTAGGAGGAGGTGAAGGAGGATGCTCGGGCACCAGGCACTGGCCCGGGCAGGGCCGACGGGGGCAGTGGGAAGCACCGGCCGATCTTGCGCAGGGTCTGATCCAGGTCGGCGCGGAAGCGCCGGATGGAGAAGCAGTAGATGAGGGGGTCCAGGCAGCTGTTGAGGCTGAGCAGGGCCACAGTCAGTGTGTGCAGCACATCCAGAGTGTCAGGGGGACCACAGAGCGGTGCAGGGAGCCGGCTGCCCACCCAGGGGGCAAGTGTCAGGTGGTAGGGGGCCACACAGACCACAAAGACCAGCAGCATCCCCAGCACCATGGCACGGGCCTGCTGCCGGTGGGAGCCTGGTGAGGCAGCGGCAGGCACCGAGAGCGCCCGGACGATGGAGGCATAGGTTCCCAGCACCACCAGGAAGGCGGCGGCAAAGAAACCCACCATGGCATAGGCATAGCGCCGCTGCCGCCCGTGCTGCTCAAAGCAGGCGGTGGTCCCAGCGTGGGTGGGGAAGGTCTGGTGAGTGGCCAGGGTGGGCACGGCACAGCCCAGCCCCAGCAGCCAGGCCAGGGTGCAGGCCAGCGCAGCGCTGCGGGGCCCTGTCAGCAGCAGCACCCGCCGCGCCGCCCGCACCGCGCAGAACCGGTTGAAGCTGATGAGTGCCATGAAGGTGATGGCACTGTAGGTCGCCAGGTAGTAGGCGGCCCCAGCCAGGCGACAGGCGGCCTCCGAGAGTAGCCAGTCCCCCCCAGCCAGGTAGTAGTGGATCCAGAGGGGCAGCGTGAGGTTGAAGAGGATGTCAGCCAGCGTGAGGTTGATGAGGTAGATGCGGATGGCCTTCCTCACTTTGCCACTCTGCAGGAAGACCAGCAATGCCAGCAGATTGCCTGGCAGTCCCACACACAGCACCAGGCAGTAGACGACAGGCACCAGCACGAACTGCACTGGATTGTTGGGCATGCACTTGCCCGGGTGCTCCACCAGCAGTGATCCCAGCACCGAGCCATTCATCCTGGGCTCCTGCAAAGATGAGGAACAGTCAGTGGCACAACCCTTGGGAACAGAGGAGGGATGTTGAGCCAGACAGGACAACCTCTCTGGCTGGCACCTGCAGTAGCTGCTGGGTGCTGGAGACAGAGCCCTGCAGGGATGCCATCATCTGCAGGAAGGGGGCTCAGCTCACGCAGGAGAGGAGGAGACCCAAGCTATGTCGCCCCACACAACAAGGGAGCCTAGAGGCCACTGTCAGCTGCCCAGCTAGAGCTTCCAGGGAGTGGCAGGCACAGCTGCAGCACAGCAGAGGGACAGAGCTGCAGCTGGAGGCACCCAAAGGTGCCACACTGGCTCCAGTTGGCGGGGCTTAACACCTCCCACAAAGCATGTGCCTGTGAGGCCACCCACCCCAGCTGTCTCCCAGCACCCCAAATTCCCCATGGAGCCAGGCATGAGGAAGTCACCCACTGGCTCAGCAAGCTCCAGAATGGAGAAACCCAGGTATGAACGGGGGGGACACAAGCATGGGGCCAGCATGCCCCCATGCCTCCCAGTCCTGCACAGCAGAGTTTGCCTCTGGTCCTGGTCATGGAAAACCATGCTGTGCTGGAATGGCTGTATCCAGGGCTGCAGTTATTTCACCTCCCATCACTGCCTGCCCACACCTCGCCAACAAAGGCACTGAGTCACCAGCTGGTGTATTCCAGCACAGCAGGGCTGGATTCAGCACACGCAGCACCCAGCCCCAGGTTGAAGCACAGGGGGCACGAGCTGCTGAGCCTGGGGGAACCTCAGTTGGACCCCAAAGGGACTTCTGGATCCCTCAGTGGTCCCCTTTTCCTCCTCCTTCCCCATTGTTAGCAATGAATGCTCATCTCACCCACACCACAACTGTTACTTACCTTGTTGGGTCAGGCAGAAGTGGCTGCGTCCCCTCCGGCTGCTCCTCACTCTGATCCTGCCAGACTGAGAACAGCTTTAAATGCTGGGGGAGGCAGGGGCTGCCTGACTCCCACCCACCATCCCAGGCCCCCCTGTGTGTGTGGGACAGCAGCTGGAGTGAACACCTGCTGTGTGTATGTAATGGGGGATTCCCTGCTGGAGCCAACCTAAGATCCCCTGCTCCGGCTGACGGGGCTGGGGGTATGTGGAGGTGGCCAGTACCGGACTGGCTGCCGCCTCCCTGTGCCACGAGCCACATCTAATACCAGTTCCCAGGGCCCTTCTCCCACCCACGCCTGGACAAAAGCATCAGAGGGTCAAGTTACTGCACCTGGCAGCTGGGGAGAAGAGGGATGCCCCAAGAGGATCAAAGTAGAAATTTGCCTCCTCCTGGCTCTTTGTGCTTTTGTTGCCTTCAAAGCTGGTTTTAAGGGGAGCAGCCCTACAGCCCTCCCCACTCCACCCCCCCTGCAAGCTCTGTGAGCATCTGACTCGCTGCTTTGTGTGGCCCTGCAATTTGTGTGTGCTTCTTTGAGACACCAAAGATGTCATCCCAAGGTAGTTCAGGTCCCACTGCTGTACAACAGTGTCCTACACCCCTTGCTCACCCCAACAGCCAGACTCCACACAAGGCCATCCCAGCCCCCTCACTGGGAGACACACAGGGTTCAGATGAACTGTGGTTCATGCTGAGACTGCTGTGCCCATCTGGGGTGGCACCCTGTGGGAGCAAGATCCACAAAAAGCACATGCCTGCCTGGGCACTTGATCCTGTCACTCCCTGGATGCACAGCAAGGGGCCTGGCACATTGTCAGGTTGCTGTGGGTGTCTGAGGGATCCCACCCTAGATGTGCTCTCCCCACTGTCCATCTGCCTCTGTGGCAGCTCCTTCACCAGCTTCCACATGTCCCCAGGCCTGGTGTCCAGGCATTGGCCCCAGGGACTGGGTCCTCCAGCCCCAGGACATCCCCTTACATGTCCTGTACCACTCAGGACATCCCTGAGGCTTAGCATGGGGGGGAGGCAGAGATAAACAGGGAGGCAAGATGTGAAAAACAAGAGGTTTTATTCCAAAATTTGAAAGCTCCCAAGAAAGCAGAGCCAGCCCCTGCTCAGTGTGGCCGAATGCTGGAAAAGAGCCGGACACCTTGTGCGAGTTTAGCAACGGAGCTGCAGGAGCAGTGCCACGGCAGTGTCACAGTGGTGCCATGGCCACCATACCACAGCCCGGGTCTCGCAGTGTGGGGACAACCAGCACCAGAGTCACTGGCAGAGGCAGGAGAGAACACACAGCATCACTGTCTCATAAGCAAGTTACCCTGCAGGATGCGATGTCATCCCTGAAAATACCATAAAGGCATTGCTTCCCAGTGGCTGAGCCTTCTGTCCTTCCTGCCTCTCATCACTTGAACTTGGGCCGGGGGGCAGCCGGGTACCCACGGATGTTGAGCAGCAGGAGGAGGCCCAGGCAGAGGGTGGCCGGGGCACACAAGGCCAGCGGCTCCTGCAGCGCCAGCAGCGTGTAGATGGCACCTGGACAAGGAACAGAGCGTGGGAATAAGGGTCTCTGGCTGAGGGAGTCACAAAACCCCACGATGGGCAATGGGCACCCAGCTGGCTCTCACCGATCATGACGACACTGAGGATGAAGTTGCTGATCTCCTGAAGCAGCTGGGGCCCAAATGCCAGCAAGAGCCCTGCCGTCACCTCCAGCCAGCCTACAGCCACCAGGTACCTGCCCGGCTCTGGCACAAGGCCCAACTCCTTCAGGGGAAACACCTTGGCAAACCGCACGAACTCCGATGCCTGGGTGGGAGGGGAGAGAGGCAGCCCTGAGCCTGGGCCTGAGGGGATACAGCCCCTCCAGTGTGTCTGCTCTGCCCTGCCCTGTCCTCCAAGGGGATCAGCTCTGCATCCTAAATAACCACACACTCTAAGGGGATCAGCCCTGTGCTCCAAGGGATGTAACCCCGCACCCCAGTGGGGTCAGTCCTGCACTCCAAGGGACTCAGGCTGAGGCACTATGAAGGGCTTAGCCTTGTACCCAAAGTGCTCCACCATGAACCCCTGTAGTCCCAACCTGCTCATTCTCACCCAAGGCTCAGCCCCACACCACAACAGTGTCAGCCCTGCACGTTTCCCCCGGAGCTCAGCCCTGCACCCCAACCTGTTCCTTTCCCCCGGAGCTCAGCCGTGCACGCCAAAGTGCTCTTTACCCCCAACCTGCTCGTTCCCCACGGGCTCGGCCCTGCGTCTCCCGAGCCCGTGGCCGTGCTCACCATGTGCCGGTGCAGGTCGGCGGAGAGCCAGTCCGAGACCTTCAGGGCGCCGGTGAGGAAGAAGAAGAGTCCGAGCAGGACACGGAGGGCGGTGAAGGCCGCCGCCATGGCGGGACGGGCGGGCCCGGGGGCGGAGCTGGGCGGAGCGGTCCAGCCCCGTGCCTGGCCCCGTTCCCAGCCCGGCCCGGCCCCGCTCGGTGCCCGGCTCAGCCTGGCCCTGCTCCGCTCTGGTCCCCGCCCGCTCCAGCCCCGGCCCCGCACGGACAGGGCCCCCCTTACCCTTGGGTGCTGCCACAGCAGGGGGTGCTCAGATGTGCAGCGTCACCCCCCAGATTATGACACGTCCCTGCCAGCAGCACCATCCTTCCACCGAAATAGAGCTGGAGGAAAAAGGGAACTCCCCCACCCCGCAACAAATCCCACAGCTGGGGCTTCGTGGGCTCTTGTGAGTGGGTGTGACCCACGGCAGCCCCTGCTGGCTATGGGTGCCAGGAGCTGCGGGGACCGCAGATCAAGCAAGGTATAGGCAGCGCTGGGCACGGCTCCAGGGAACCGGACCGAGCAGGCAGCAGCAGCAGCGAGGATGCTCTGGCCCCAGGGAGGCCGCGCTCCCCCGGCCTCTGCGTCACCGCCTGCACTGGCCGAGCCTCCCAGGAACGGCAGCCCAGCACTGGCGAGAGCCAGGCCCAGCGGAGCCGCAGGCGCTGTCGTTTGTGTAATCCAAGTGGAAATATTTTTTTTTAATGCAAATAAATCATGAGAGCCCGAAGTGTTTTCCAGGCACGAGGAAGCACAGGACACACAGCCAGCCTGGGCCTGCACCGACCCCATCTCGGCCACCACGTTGCATGGGCTGCCACAGGCACTGGCTGGACAGGGACCAGTGGCAGTGACACTATTTTTACTCCTGGCAGCACATGATCCTTCAGCTGCTCAACATGATTTGCAGCTCAGGTTGGTACACCATGCAATGACAGCATGTCTTGGGCTGTAATGCAAAATTTAACTAATAGTATGTATTTTATTACTATCTGTTAAAACCAGGTGGGGCAGTGTTGTTTATCTGTGACCCGTAACTCTAGGGGGATATCTTCTATTAATGGGCTATTGAGTCTCACTGCATGACTGATAAAATTACATCATCCCACCGTGAGATGCTCCACCCCAGGAAGAGGTGGATATTCTTATTTGGATATAATCTGTGTTAGAACACTGCAGAGTTAGCTTTTCTCCACTAGATGCCCAGAAGATTGGACCTATCCCCACGACTGCTAGACCTTCAGAAAAAAAAAACTGCACCCTTCTACAGGATCACTGCTTCAACAGAACCACATCTGTTCTCACTCCAGGAGGACTGCAGCCACCATTTAGTCAGACTGCTACTAAGACCCTGACCAACAGGGTTGTATTCAGACTCTGACAGTGGGTTTGCTTTTGTTTTTTTTGTACTACTGCATTTTTATTTTAATTTTCCTAGTAAAGAACCGTTATTCACTTCTTTGCCTGAGAGGCCCTTGATTTTAAAAATGTAATAATTCGGGGGGGGGGGGGGGAGAAGAGTTTACACTTTTCCATTTCAAAAGAAATTCCTACCTTCCTTAACAAACACCTATGATTTTCAAACCAAAACACAGCAACAGGCCTGGGCAGGGTGCAGGCCTTCATGACTTGGAAAGCTCCTTGGTCAGAAATAAATTTAAAAATAAACATCAAACCCTGAAAAAGTGAGTGCAGCAGCTCAGTGCATGTGCAGGGCAGTGGCATCAGGGCAGCAGTCAAGATTATCCCAGGATAATGTTCAAGTGTACCTGCTCTCAGCCTCTGATCTTTTATTGATTACAGAAGCAACTTAATGAACTATTTGGTAGAACGAGGTGTCAGCCTCACCAGAGGACACCCCGGGTGATGGTAACAGCCAACACCAGCACCAGGGAAAACTGATCCTGTCCCTACAGGACACAGGCTGCAGTTTGCTTACAGCTGGGAGCTGAAGAGGTAAAGTTCAGCACATGGAATGCTCCAAATTTCTCACAGGAAGCAGACAGTGCTGCAGCAGTGGAAATGAGGACAAGTTATTGGAAAATAACAGAGTCTGAAGAAAAAAGGCTGCACAAGCTGCAGGAGCTGTGGAGACAAAGACACTGAACCCCAGCCTCTGCAGAGCAGCTACTGAGCCACAAACATCACTGAAGCCTTTTCAGGATCCAGACAATACCAGAGTCATAAAAACATAGTGGAAACACCTCAGATTGTCCTCGCCCAGCACCTGATTGCCTTAGAGAACAGCAGCAGGTCATAGTGCAGCACCAACCCCCCCTGCCACGAGCACCCCCAGGCATTCAGACCCCTCTCAAGCATTTCACACCATGTTGTGACATGAAATTAGATTTATTTTCATGTTTCTAATCTGGCAAAGTAGGTCCCAGACATATGTTCATGACCCTTTGTGCCAATGCAGGAGGAAACCCTGCTACAATGAGCACAGCCACCACTGGTGTATTTCAACATATTAAACAACTTGATAATTAAACAAGGCATTGTATTTAACAAGTGACAGCATGAACCACAATATATGTGCACAGTGCAGCTGCCAAAGCATCAAGCGAAGCAACATGAACCATGGTAATTTGTGCTGCAACAGCTAAACCCAGCACTGCTCTGACTTCTAAAGAACTCTAACTTTTGGCATCTCAGGCTTAATTACTACAGTCATCACCAACAAAGCTACTAAAAACCAACCAGGCACAGGTAAATATTTGGAATTCTACAATGCAAAACTGTAACACACAAAATGGAAGTAAGGAATGATTGAAATTTCCAGAAAATTGTGTTTCTCAGACCCAGCCACACCACTCCACACTGACAAGACTGCTTATTCACTGAATACCCTCTGGAATAAAACAGACATAATTTATAAAAATATTTAAGTATTTTATTTTTAAAAGCTTTATGTTCCTCTTCATTGCACTCAGACTTCTTTTTCTGCAAGTGCAAAGCACACAATTAGGAAGATTCTGAAAGAAACACAGAAAACAACAGCAGAAACTACATGACACAGAATCACCATTCAGAATCACAGGCCATGTGCCTGCTATATATTCTCAAGTATTCACAACAGATTTGAGATTAAATTAAGAGAATTCATATACTTTTGAGATCAGATATGGCTTTGTGTGTTTTCCTACCCCACAGCAAGGAGCAGCAGTGACAAACCACAAAGGATTCAATAGGAATTTACCCACTGAATCCCATAGGCTTCACACCTTACAGGTCTACTGTTACTTACCTGTGACTCCCAAGTTAAGGGACTCAGCATGTTGCTCCTCAAACAAGATTTTAAATAGCTGAAGTATCCCCTTGTAGTTTAGTGGCAAATTAGAGGGAAAATGTCATTAATTCCAGCTCTATAAGTTGGTTTATTTCCCTGAACTACTATTTGCTGTGCTCCTGTACATGCTGATTTATACACCAGGTTATTTTTTAAATTCAATGTTAAAATATTTCAGCAAATAGCTTTTTAACAAGGTTTAGTTGAATTAACATCTGAGAAGCAGCTGCTCTATTTTCCTTTTCCCATGCTGACAATCACCAACTGTAGCCTGAGCACAGGCATGGTCATTTCTTGTTTGACCACCTGCAGCACAGAAAGGACAGAATTTATTTGCTGCTGCAGGGCTGAAAAGCCTCAGACAACGGTTACATTTTGGCTCTACAAAAGCAAGATGAATAAACTTTACATAAAATTGAGATTAATCACTGATTCAGGCTGGAATTACATAACCCAGCTCAACGTGATGGGATACCAAGCCTTCATAGCACTGTAAGGACACCAGCTACTTACTTGTCCACCTGTTCCCTTGGTCCCTCCACACACCACTGGGTACCATGCTGGATGTGCTCATGTTCGACTCCTCAACTGGAAAAACATGCCCAAGTTATTATACCCACAGTGATTTTGTAATCTTTTGTACAAACCCACATCTAGAAAGGTATTTTTAGCTGCTGCTGTCAAGATACCAAGCCCAGGCGGAGTCAGGTTGCTCAAGCCCAGAATGTGACAACAAGGACTGTGTTCTACCCTACACGTTTAGTGTATCCATTCGTCCCAGGTTCCCAGTGTTCCCCAGTTCAAAGATACTCAGGCGCCCAAAAACCTTTATTATTTCATCCATCCAAGACAAAAAAAGCAATACTTACTTCCCATGGATGAGCACTCCAGTGTCACTCAGCTTTCATCTTCACCTAAAGGATAACAACTCAAGTTATTAGAGTCATACACAGCAAATTGTGACCATTCAAAACTAACTTAAAAAGAAGGTTTTAACATACATGGACTGATTAGTTATGAGGGGGAACTTAGCAATTATTCCAAGCTATTACGTGGAAAAATAAGGGGCAGAAATAGGCTAGCCTAAACACTCATCAAGAGCTGAAGGAATATGCAGGCAGTTGCCTGAAGAACTGCACCCTGAGCACAAACCATAACCCCAGTCTGAGCACAGTGATGTTTGACTGCAGCCAGAGGTATACTATCCCTTATGTGAAGGCATTAATTTTGTCAGCTGCCTCAACTCTACAACCCTATTTGTCTCCTGTAGCAATGCCCCCTCTCTTCCCCTTCCTGAGGGAGTGCAGTGGTCCTGGCCTCTTAGAGCCCTCGTGTTCTACAGTCCAACAAGTGCTTCAGAAGCCAAAGGCAGACACTAGAGGTTGGCACTGTCTCTGCTTTTATCCTCAGCAAGGTTCTTCCCTCCTGAAGACCCCCTTTTACTATAGCTGAGGGCAGCCTGCAATAGTGAGAGCTGGGGATGTGGTACAAGGCTCTGCACAGCTCCAGATGGGAGGCAGATCCCACCACGGGCACAGCATGACGTGACGAGGCAGGGACAACTCCAGGCTTTAGTCTCCAACCCACCACCCACCTGGGTTTCCTCCCAGCCCTTGGGAGCAGGAGAGTTATGCACGTTTTGTTTTCTCTGCCATAGCAACAAACACCATGCATAAGGGATACTATATCTTTGTGCATCCTTTGAAAACTGCAGATTCCCTGCTAGCCACACTCTTCCCAACCTTCCCCAATTAGCTCTTCCGTACTGGTGTTCAGAAGCAACATTTATAGAGATGGGGTGTTCACAGACCACTGCGGGATTGCACAGCCAAGTCCTAATGTGTCAATCATTACCTAGCAGCAATGACACAGGTGGGAGAAGGCCAATCCTCCCTTTTTTCCTTTTCCAAGCAGCAGCTATTTAACAGCCCCACTAGCTGGTATGGAGAGTGAAAAAAAAATCTGAAGCTAATTAGCTGATTCCAAAACTTGATGTAGAGGAAGAAGCCAAGTGATTCCCCAGAGCAGCATACTTGGATGCATCCTTCCCAACATGGTCAGCCTCATTGAACATAATGGAACAGAACACTGGCCTTCCTGATCATGTCACTGCAGCTGGCAATGATTAACAGAGACATGCAACCCCATTACTGCTCCAGTCCTAAAACTACTCACAGGCCTCAGTGTTTGGCTATGGGGAGAACTGCAAGCAAATCAACACTTTGTATGCTTAATGTTACAATAAAGCCCCATCCACGCTGTGCTGTGCTCTCCTGCCAGCACCAGGCTCTGCTCAGAGGGCCTAGCAGTACGCAGATGTATTCTGACACCACACTTCTGAGTTTCAGGTAAGCTTTTGAGAAAAAGTGTATTTCACACACAGATAAAACCAAGATGAAACACAATGCAAGCACTTGAATGTCATTTCTTGTACCCACTTGTTACAGACTGACTTAGAGCAGACATGACTTAAGTTTGCTACCACACCAAGTTCCATTACTGCAGTCAGAACTGGTCTGAGCCCCATGGTTCAGTCACAAATTGCTTGCTCCAAGAGTGTCAAAAACCTGCTTAGTTCAAATACGTAGAATGAGGCAGATGTGCCAATAACCCCTCCATGACATTCCTGCAGGTCAAGTATCCAGAGCACACTGGAAAAACTTAGGTCAGATCTTGAGCAATGGTTTAAGATCACTAATTCAGTTTTGCTACCTGACAGCACAGCGGCTGCCAGCAGGTTTGCTACTGGATCCCAGTCCCAGGTAAGGATAAGCCATCACAAAATGGATTCAAGTCACAGGTAAACCATCATGAAAAGCCAAACTGACTTTGCGACAAGATGTCACTGTGTGACCAGCTGGCATGGGTTACACTCACTGTGGTGTAACCAAAGACCTGTTGTCATTATCTTATGGTGCGCCTGCTACTTCAAGGGTTCAATGGAACATGGAAAGGTGGCTACAGCGGAGGGCAATGTTGTCCAGCAGATCCCTGTTCACCAGCAAGAGTCCTGCCTGGAAAGTAACAAAGAAGGGTCCAGAAGTGACGATAATACCAGAAACAAGTATGCAAAGCAGAACTTTGCAGAGTAAGGGAAAACACATTACAACACCTGTGAAACAAACTAAGTATCAGACAAGAGCCAGATCATTCACTGGAACAAGGGTCTTTGAAATTCAGGTTCAAGAGCTAATGCAAAAGAGCTGGAGATCAGCATGTCTGAATGTCTTGCAACGTAAGCATGTTAATCCTGGAACACTACAGTCAGGAGTTCTAGTAATGAAGAGTTTCGAATTACATCCCAAGACTGATGAAAAATGGAATCGTACATTACACTAACAAGATGACTCTACGAGGCAGAAGTACAGAATCTCATCACTGTCAATTAAAGCAGAGGAATGTATCAGGCTTGTCAATCAAAGGTTAAAATAAAGACTACTCCAATGTCCAATAAGCTCTATGAAACTCACAGGGATATTCAATCAAGCACTCATTTATGTCCTCAAAAATATTCTCGATCAGTCTCAGAGCTGCTTGTACCCGTAGCTTGAGGTGACTCTCACATAGCACACACGAGGCAAGAGCAGTGGTTACTAACACATTCCCACCAAGCCAAGACTCTACACACGGATGAACTGCAGATGGGCCACTTCATCACTACAGAAAGTTTAAACGTGTTCTTTTCCAGGCACTAAGAGCACCTTGTCAACTACTCAACTGAGTTTAAGATCACATTCCCTCTTCCCCACAGTGCTCATTTAAGAATATCTTCGTTACATCAGAAATAAGAAAAATCCACCCAAGCCAAGTCGTATGTACAGAGGAATCGGGTCTGGAAATCCTTATCTAAGAACCACAGTAACTACTTGTTGTCTCTGAATGAGACAAAAGCTTAAACCGAAAACCACGCAGATTTGATGCAAGCTCAGCATACAGGTATGAAGTGCCGCACTGTAATTCCACAGTCAGAAGTGTGATGTCAGAATACCCACTGTATAAGATTACATAGAAAGTCACCAAGTTATATTATATTGCTTGTTACCTACCTGTACGCAGTCGGCAATGAGAATCTTGGAGCAAGCAGGAATACTACATCCGGGTCCTAATGTCCATTGCCATTTGTGGTACTACGTTCCTCACAGTTATGAACTGCAGAAATGCTGGCTAAGTGCAGTTATGTAGCAGGCCACTAGTTTAAAGTGTAAATTGCAGTCTCAAATTCCAGCAAAAACTTGCTGCCACAGTAAATGGTTGCCAAGGAGAAGCCATGAATTTGTCTACCACAAAAATACCACAAAATCTCAAAAGCATTTTCAATTTCTCATCAGCTGTACAAATTATTAGTGTAATGTATCTACACCAGAAGGTAAGATTATTCTGTATTCATTTCTGAGAAAGTGTGAAGACATATGTGTAACGACACGTTTCTACTTGCTGCAGTTTTTAGAGCTCCAAGTGTCAAAATGGGCTCAATTTTGATAAAACAAGCTAAATTGCAACAGCCAATGTCCTCCAAGTCCAGTAGAAAAAAATGTTACGTGATCCAGACCATCCAAAAACAGGTCTGACCAGCAAAGCACTTTTCTGATTTTAGAAGATTTAATTATATAAATCTGAGTTTATGAAAGAAGTCCAAAACCTCATAGGAACAGATCAAAGGAATGTCACTTTCTCGCCTCCCACATTTAGTAACTTTTATCACATTTTGAAGTTGACATGTTTGCCAGCTTTTAAGACACTATCTTTAAAAGGTCTTGAAAAGAAGTTGGCTAGTTCATCATATGCCTGTTTAGTACATGCAACTCAAAGCAGAACTTGTTTTAGAAATTCTGCTTATGCAGCTACAACAAAGCCAGATTAAACCAAACTTTCAGATGTTTTGAAAACTGCCAAATCTTTCAAATATATTTACTAATGATTTTGCAGCTCAGCTATTTTAATACCTAGCAACAGTAGCTTACGTACAAAACAGGGGTACCCAAAGAAAAGCTCTGTAAGGTACAAAGACAGCAGCATCCTTTTCTCTTCCAAGTTACAGAACTACAAAAGAACATACTTTAGGATATGCACCAGCATCTCTTTTAATAAAGAATGACATGTAATCTGAAAAATAAACTGAAAAAATTAATTTAATGTTCACGTTCAGAATTTCCCACCTCAGACACCTTCACCTTTTGAGGGTGTCCCATGAACACCCTCCAGAAAAGATATTGTTTAAAACCGCTTCAATAATGCAAATTGCATCGATACTGCTCATTTGTAAACTATCCAATACAAGTAACTTCCAAATACTTGGTCTGCAGTTTAGGAACTGCCAATTTGATATTACCTCAAGAGCAATTCATTGTTGTAGCATGTTATCAACCCCCAAACTTTTCTGGGTAAACAAAAAGCATTCACCAAACAAGCTGAATCACTCTTTAGTGAGCTTCATGTTCCACACCAGTGTTATCTGTATCAGCCCTTCCCAACTTGCTATTCCATCATTTAAGGGGTAACAGTACACTTCAAAAGGGATCAGACATATGTGCCCTAAAACCCTGCAATCTGACACTTAAGTTTCAACCACACGGAAAATTTAGCAGAGAATTTAGAATTAGCCAATGCTTAGCACAAGGAATGGAAGGATATTGGAAAGATTAAAGCTATTCACAAAACTCCGGTGGTTGGGGATCATGTGAAGGTACAGCCAAGCTAAGTTTACCTACTTTGTGCCAAGCAGGTTGATGTATCCTGCATTAACACTGAGGTATTTGACCCTGGGAAGTCAACCTTCCCAGTTTACCTGGTACATCGTAATAATAAGCAAAGCAACTACTTTACCAATGAGTCCAGAATGCTTTGAAATTTTTCTGGGGCTTAATAAAATGAACAGCAAACTAACGAATTCATCAGATCTTCTACAAAAAGAACCTTAAAGGGAGTTTATTTGCACTGTGTAGTATTAACTCTTAAAACTCCAGATTCAGATACTACTTTTGAAGCATTATCTCCAAACATCAATAATAAAAGAGCGATAACCATCATGCAAGCAAGCTGATTGCTGTATTTTACATACAGGATTTTAGGATTTGCCCACCAGCTACACAATTTAAGAATAGTTCCTGCAGTCCCCATAATACAAATGATTGTATTCTCAACTAGGCAGATTAGTCCACTGTTAGCATGAGGACATAAGCAAGTTAACCTTAATCACTCAAGTAACACTTCTGGTCTTTTTGCCAAGCAATTTCAGGCAGGTGTACAATATGGAGCAAGGCCAGATCCTGTAATCTCAAAACAGCTTAAGAGCATATAAATATCACATCAACAATCCTTTAGTGAGGAAGTCAGCCGATACAAGGCATTCTATGACTTTATTTTAAAATAACCATTGCTAGTCTTCTGCTTAAAGTCTTTAAAAGATTCCAAGCAGCAACTGCCAGGGTGGTAAGTGCTACCATCCCACCACCCATAGCTAAAATATGGAATTCATTACTGCACTGCTTGCAGTGAAGCTTTAAATAATGTATCTTACAGCATTTTTAAAATTTCCATTTGCTTCCTTATTGCAGCACAATTACTGCTCAAAAAATCTGCACCTACTGCAAAGTTTGGCTACAATTTAACCCAATCTTTGGCTAGAGAGGCACTGTTGGAAGTGATCTCACTCTTCACTGCAGTTCCACACCCTGGTCTAGGTCCGACCTCAGCTCGAGGCTCTCAGGTTACTGTGGCAGGTGTGGTATTCAGCCTTGTTTCCCACGTTAACCATGACTGGCAAGAAGAGTTACTACATTTAGTTTTCTATTTATTTGAAGCACAGTAAAAAAAAGGTTGGTACACTTTGGGAATTCAGTGGCACAAGGTACACTGCCATCAAGTTAGGGACGTTATACATCAAAAAAACAGCTAAATTTGATTTTGAAACACTGCATTACATAATTAAATTGTACTTGCCCAAACAGACCACTTACAAATATTAGGTCAGTAAGTTTCTAACATCCATAAAAACGTAGCTTTCTTACTAAAATGCAAGAATTAAGAAGTCGGTGTCTAAACAAGACAGACAAAAACAAACTGGAATGAAACTACAGGTCACATCTAAAATCGGGGCTTTTTGTTTGGGGCTTCATATTCTTCTCTCCCTCTACCATATCCTGCTGGTGCTCCAGGCCCCATTCCTCTAGGACCCTGGCCACCCACGGGCCCCGCACCTCCCTGCCCAAAGCGTTCAGGACGCTATTGGAACAGAATTAACAGTTCATTATAAGTAGTTGATGTCCATGTGTGTTAAGTATATATTTTTAGAAGGTTCCGTAGTCAAGGTTCGTCGATACAATCACCATTGAGCCGATCCACAGGTACCGGGAACATAGAAAGGAAAAAAGGGTAATTTAAAAATTAGTTTATTGTAATACATGCCTTGAGGTATGTTCCCACTTGATGCATTCTCATACATCTGTTACAAAGAACAGATCCTCCCTGCAGTGCTAGAAAGGTAAGCATTAGTGCAGATGTGAATTAACAACTTTTCCAAATGAGCTCTAGCAAAATTTTCAACCAAGTTAATGCAATAGCTTGCAAACTTCTCACCTTTAGTGCAGTAAAAGCCCAGATTACATCACTGTCATTTCCAAATAAGCCTAATGAGAGAATGCAGCTCCAGTTGGCTGAAGGAGGAGCTGACATTCATCAAATGTAACAGAATGCCTACTCACCAGAACTGGCATGTGCTGTCTAGAGACCATGTGCTTTTCAAGATGGGGTTAAGACTACAGTCTGCTGACTAAACTGCAGAGGCCTTTGGCAGTACCAAAACTCATTGTGAGCACTACTGCATTGCAAGAAGAAAAAAAAAAAGTGAAAAATGCTACTGACCAGTGCTCTACCTAACCAACACAACTGCTCGAGCAAAGACTGGCATTTGTTCAAACCCAACGTAATCCAGAGCTGCTGGTGCTGCATCAGATGTGAAACATGTTCCAAGCATTCAGTATTTCCAGTTAAGAGCAATGCACAGAGGGTTGTGTGCATCCAAGCAGTATCTCCCTTCCCACCCCACCTTCACCACAAGCTCTTGAAAAATTCACAGCTTCACAGCAATTGAAAGGTTTCACACCAAGGTGTAACAGCTAAGTTACTCTGCAATAAAGCAGACTTCAGGTCTATTTACTAGTACCTCTCTAGTTGTATGTACTTCGTTCAGTTACTGTATTACTAGGTGTGATCAGCATTCAATCTACAGAACTTACACATTATGAGGTCAAAGAGAACTTTAAATTTTCATTTCAACCAAGGTTCCCACTACTGAGTAACAGAACAATGGTAGGTGGTTAGTTACAGAAAGTATCTGCAACTGAAAATGCACACTTGAGAGCTCCTGACTTCTGAATGTCAGCATCAACCCTTTCAAGAAAGGAGTTTCACAAATATTACTTAGGTTATTTCTACCTAATTCATGGCAGCTTCAGCTCATCTCCAGCTCTATTTAAAGGTATCAGCCCAGAAACTGCGACAGCATTGTGTGGCAGAGATCCCCAGCCTAAGAAACTCAAGGCAGTTAATCCACCTCACTGTCACTTCTTTTGACCAGATCACATTTCAGGGACTACACAAGTTCACCATGCACCTGTACCATGGTCTTCAGGAGAAAAATGTACATAGTACCACCACACACTGCCTAACTGCTCACAGGAAGCTCAGGAACTGCTTACATATCAGTAAGTTATTGAGATACCTTTAGGCCAACAGCACTATCTACTGAATCAATGATGCTCTGTGAAGTTACCATTCCAAAGATATGTTCCCCAAAAAGATGAAACAGAAGATATCTGACAAGCTACTATGGTAGCTCAGCTCATTAAGCCAGAGGCCTAAACCCACCCAAAACTCATTTAGTTCAGCTTATACTACAAGTGTACACCCTTTCAGGAGGGTGAAGGCACACTGGTTTATCGCCACCTAAGCCAACAGATTCCCATCCTGCCCATTAAGCACTTCTGTAATCTACATCCATGGTGTTTCAGTGTAGGAACACCAAGCAGGCTCCAAGCCCAGTCACACATGTAGTGTGCCAGAAATTAGTAGTTTGGAAACATACCTCTGAACAGGAGATATGCTGTAGTTTTAACAGGCTCTACACCTTTGTGTCATGCCCAACACAGGAAAACAGACCAGGCTTATCATTCCTTTGGGAGACAGGAACCACAAATGGCTATAGTCCAGGATAGCTGGAACATGCCTGAAGCTAAAAACCAGCATTTCTGCTCTTCTACAGCAACATCAGCACAGACTGAGGGATATGCTGTTTACCCTTGATTACTTAAATTAATCTGCTGCTGGAACAGACCTGAGCGCAGATTTTGGACTGAACAGCACACCCAGACCAACATGCATCCAGCCCACCTAGGCTTGGAAGGGCCAAAACAGTGTTACATTGGGAAGGAGAACAAAAAAATCTCTTGTCCATCAATACAGAACATCAAATTACTGAAAAGCTACCACATTAAGTATTTTGATGAAATTTGTCAGATTCTCTAGAATTCATAAAAAATCCTTCCAAGCCCAACAGTGACGCAGAATTTCCAAAGTCCAATGAAGTCGGTTAATTGCAAATATGCTGTAGAGCACATTTGAATTCACTTAAAATTTCTGACTGTGTAAGCTACCATAAAGGTTATCAACTACTCTAGTGCTACACGCTGCCACGTTGTCCTGTGTTAAACACCTGACAAGAGAGTCAGCAGTTAACAGTGACATTTCCACAACCATCCGAACACTGGAGAACTCATTCCCAACCACAACAACTCCCTTGTGCTAAGCTAAAGCCACCACAGGATACGTTACCATGTCACTTCCCATCATAGAACCACTCATGGCTGCTTGGCCAACTCCCGGATTAGCTTCATAACCTATGCCGCCACCACCTCCCAGAGGTGGGAATTTCTGGGCTGCTGAAGCATAAGGATCTAAGAGAGAGAAATATATAATCATATTCTGACAATTCTTAAGTTAGGCACATGAAGTAATTACTTAGAAGACTCTTTACCTCCCATGTTCATTGTGGCAGCACCACCCATTCTCATGTCTCGTTCCCTCTGCATAGAAGAAACCATTTTTAACTTGGATAATCAACCAAAAAATCCAAACTTTTCAGGAGACAAAGCACATATACAGCCAACTACTGCCACTGCCCATACACAAACACAGAACAATTGCCAACCCAAAGGAAGCAAAACACAGCGATTTTGAAAATACATCAACAAAATTCCTGAACATGGTAATATATCCCAAACCCACCACGATGTCACTTACTGGATCCATGTAACCCATTCTACTATAATTCTCTTCCCTCTGTCTTCTCATCTGCTCTTCCATTTCCCGCTGACGGATCATCATCTCCTCCTCCCGCCGGCGACGCTCCTCTTCCTGCCTGGTCATCCCAAAGCAGACTGTTAAACCCCAGGAGTGGAGCACACTGAACACACACCATCATTTGCTCCAGCAACATAAAGGCACTAAATGACTACACTTCAGAAAAAAAACAACATACTCTATGATGCTCAAACATTTGAGGAGAAACTTACATAGCAGTTCAATTTCACAAACACAAACTGAAGCAGCAATGGCATTTCTTGAAAAATGAAAACTTTTGTATGTATGTAATTGGCAAAAAAAAAAGCATAAATGTAACTTTAAATAAAATCCCATGAAAGCAAACTAACCTCAGCTGAATTTCCTTGCGTTTCTGCATTTCCTGATTATGAAGTTCTTCCATACGCCTCAGCTCCTCCTGACGCCTCATGAGGTCTGCAGGAATGAAGTCTGTGAGCAGCTTTTTAGCAAAACATCACATTTTAACTATATCTGAATTAGATCTGCCTCAGCTGCACTGTGGCAGAGAAGTACGTTCCAGTGTCACTGTTCTTACCAATACACCACTGAAATAAATACCAAAAACTTCTAGTTTCTCTGTACCTCTGAAATTCTCAAGTTCGTAGTCAGAGCATGTATTTATTCACTAAACAATTGAAGAGCCATATATTTCAGTCAGCGTTTAAAGCAAAAAGATAGTAAGAATTCAGAACCAATTACCTTGACGCAAGAGGTTTGCCTGATGCTCATGATAAGCATCTTCCATCTCACTTTCAAGTTTGTCCTTGGCATCTTTCATGTTTTTTGCCACTTGCTCTCTCTGCTGCTTTTCCATTTCATCTAAAGATTTCCATCTCTGCGAATATTCAAATTCAAAACTGCCAGGCTGAGCAAAACGGGGAGGAGTCTCTCTCTCCCTGCAGAAAGGAAGATACTTGAAGAGTGGGCAACCCTGGAAACTCAAGGTCAATACAAGATCACAGGCAAAATAACCCAGTTATCAGGGAATATCAAGGGAGCCCAGAGAATACCTGACAACTGGCTGTGATGGAAGTGCTACATCTTACACACCGAATACAAATAATTATCACAGCACACATGCAGACTCCTGCACTATCACATCCAAGAAAATCTTCAGAGTCCTACTACTTGTTTGCCTCATTCTTAACTACCTTTAGACACTTCACTGCTGACAACTGCAGGTGCAAAATCCTCAAACAAGACAGGCTTTTGCCCAAGCAGACACAAACAAGGTGGATTTCTCCCGTGCCAAAGCACTCTGTGTCAAAGGCAAATGACAGCCTTCACTTTCATTTGAATAGTTCCAAAAACGCCTGAGGGCCAACAGGTTGTCATATAAGTAAACTCGAATTTTAAATTCAATAATTTATAAAACGAAACTGTCAAGCTCAAAAGCTTTCCCTACATTACCAATATAAAGTATTTCAACGTTTTGGAATACTGTATTAATCCACATTGCCCTCAAAGCTGCCTCTAAACCACTTCCAATTTTTGATCAAAGCAAGGAATTTTGAACCTTTTCTAAGACAAGCAAGACTGACTAGAACTTCCTCCCTGCCCTCCCTTTTATGACCTACAAAATTATAAAATTCCTACAAGTTTAATATACTGATTCTACCACAAACCTACTGTTTTGGAAGATTTCTCTTGACTCTTTAAAACTCCTCTAAACTCTTTGTCCCTTTATGCCAGCAGTCAGCTCATAAGGCAAATCCACATGCAACAAATTTATACAAATCATGGAATGAGTTAAAATTTTACTTTATTTCTCATTTCAAACCATGAATGTAAATTTTCAAACTCCCCATGGGATCATCAACCCAAGACATGCCTTAAGGGAGATGACAGCTTTCAACAATAGCATGAAACAGTTCAAGCCTGATTTTTCAAGTTTCTACATACACCAAAACCATCTGTCGAGTTATTTCTTTGTAATACGATGTAGAAAACTTCTTGTGTAACACTTGGTGAATACACTAAACAAATCATTATGATACTTTAAACTAAAAACATAAAAAAAACCCAAGAACTGGAAACACAACCAAGTATCAAAAGCCTGTTTCTGAAAAATTTTCCATATTCCTCAATTTCAGAGACAGTACTATTTAAAACATCATTAATACCCTGTTTATATTAAAAGACAGTGCCTACTTTTGATACATTGGATTCTTCTGAGCAAGCTTTTCTGGAAGACCATCTTCATCATCCAGTTGTTCCAATGGTTCCACAATAACTGGCCTGGGAGTACTGAACAGAAAATACTCGTTTTACTCCTCTAAAAGCCTTTATTCTGAAAAGCTAGAACGCTACAGGTTTTATTCAGCTTAAAACTAGAAAATCCTGCCAAAGTACTTACGTTGTCAGCAAAAATACCCCCTCAGTACACCGTTCAAATGCTTTCCTTGCGGCTGGCTTTGATGCAAACTCAACAATGCCTTTTCCTGTTGATCTACCTCGATCATCTACAATCACAACAGCTCTTTCCACCGGACCGAACTGGGAAAAAGCTTCCTCGAGCAACTCGTTGGACACGTAGGGTGAGAGGTTCCGCACCGACAGGGCAGCGGCGTGAGTGGCAAAGCGAACACGGAGCTGCCGGCCCCTCATGGGGGTATCGTCCAACTCTGCCTTTGCGATTTCTGCAAGAGCTCTAGATTCCTAGGGGAAGTGCAAAACCCAGTTTTAGAAAACTAAGCTGTACATCACCACATCGCGAGAACGGGAAAACACACAACATGAATGCCTACCAATTTAATGAATCCAAAGCCTTTTCCCTTGTTGATAAAAACCTCTCCCGGCTCCCCGTATTTGGCAAACAGCCTTTTAAAGTCTTCATCTGTGATATCCGCAGGCAAATTCCCAACAAACAACCGGCAGCGCTGTGTGTACGTCTTCTCCCCGGGCCGTCTCAGCAGAGAAAGGTTCGCTTTAAACCCCTACAAAGAATCAGACCAGTTCGAACCACCACTGAGTGCCGCACACAGAATTGCGGGGAGCCCTGAGCACCCCCGCAAAACCCAAAACGCCATTCCAGGACCGCCCGGGCACTGCGAAGGGGTCCAATCCGCAGCCCCGGGACCACCAGAGGCACCGCGAGAAGACCCAAATCATAGTCCCGTGCCACCTCGAGGGAACCCAAACCGCAGCCCCAGGCAACGCGATGGGACGCAAACTGCAGCCCCGGGACCGCCCTGACACCGGAGACCAACTCGGGTCCCGCGGAGGCGCCGCCGCCTCTCCCCCGCTCCTCCCCTCAAGATGGCGGCGCGGGAGCGCGGAGTCGCCGCCATCTTGTGCCTGAGGGACGTAAGCGGAGGGGGGGCCGTGACTCACCTCGTCCGACAGCTTCTCGCTTCTTTCTCCCGAACCTTGCTGTGTCCCTAGGCTCTGCTGGCCCTGGTGCTGCTGCCCGCGGCCCCGCGGCTCTCCGCCCGGTCCGCCGCGATGCCCTGGGCCGCCCTTATGCGGCCCCTGCTGCGGGCCGCCCGGTCCCTTGGGGCCGCCGCCGGAAGACTGTCCTTGTCCTTTCTTAAGGCCGCCGGCCGGCGTGGGGCTAGGGCTAGGCTTTGATTGCGGCTGTGGACCAGAGGGAGACGAGGAGGGAGCCGAAACCGGCGGCTGCTGCGGTGGCTGCTGCCCCGCGGGAAGCGCAGAGGATGGAGGCGCTCCCGCCTGGCTGCCGGTGGGTCCCGCCGTGGTGGCGGAGGCTGAAGAGGATGAAGATGGCGGAGCAGAGGTGGACGTGGGCGGCTTCGGTGGTTCGGGCTTCGGCCCTCCTCCCGGCGGACCGCCCGGGCCTTGCGGGCCGCCCGCCATCGGGCCGCGGTTCTGTCCCATGCCCATGCCGGGCGGCGGAGAGCGAAAATCGTGGTTGGGGCCGCCGCGGCCGCCACCACCGCCGCGCCGATGAAAGCCACCGCCACCGCCGCCACGGCTACGGAAGCGATCTCGCGACATGGTGTACCGGAGGGAGGAGACGGAGACGAAAAAACAGCTCCAGCCGCGGCGGCTGCTGCTCCTCAGCGCCCGCTGCGCAAAATGGCGGCGAGGTGGACGGCCTCGCCGCCGCCTTTGTCCGGCCTTAATATAGTTTCCCCGCCCCCGGAAGCCCCCTCCTCCCCGCCAGCCAACCACCGGCACTGGCGGCGGTGACTGACAAGTGAAATCACCAATAGCGTGTCGCAATTACGCCACCTCTTTGATCTCATTGGTAACGAGCCCGCCCTCTGTCCATTGGCGCGTTTGACCGCCGACGTTGGCACAGGACGATCCGTTAACCCCCCCGCTTGCTGATTGGGCAGTTTGAGTGGCGGGAGGAGAAGTCACGGCGGGAGCGCGAGTCGTGATTGGCTGGCTCCGCTGTCAGCCAGGGTGGGGGCGCGGCCCCGGCCTGGCTGCCCGGCGCCTCAGGGCGCGCTAAGCCCTAGCTGTGCCTGGAAAAATGTCAAATAAATGTATTTTCAATTATAGTTCGCTGCTTCGGCGTGGCCGGAACCTTCCCTTCTGCTTTTTAACCCAATCCGAGATAAAAAATGTCCGATTTCTGCATTCAAGTGTGGTGGTGGAACCCCGGTGCCAACATGGGGAGTCACGTTCAGTCTGTGTGAAAAGTCGGCCAGGGAAGCAGTAAAACAGAACCCTGTTCTTTGAAAAACGATCCGCAGTTTGTTTTCAGACACCCGAGGAAAGCAGGACACGGCTTGGTGCAAAACAAAAAACGACGACAGTTCCCCAAAATGTACACGCTGCATTCTGCGGTGAAAAATAAAGTGGCTGTACCAAGACCGTAGTGTTGTGTCCCGGCTTTCCATGTTCCATTACAGAAAACAGGCAAAAAGCACATTCCATCTCTTTAGTGTCCCTGGTTTCAGCAGTGCCACGCAGGAGGCACAACATGACACCTACACAACGTTTTCATACCTTCATCAGTGTTTGAGTCCACCCCCCTCTCAAGCTCCCAGGAATGTTTCACATTCAGTTTCAGGTCTGAAATATAACAAAATCAAACACCATGTGAAGCCCAAGGGAAAGTCCCATGTTAATTGCACAGACCTGGAACTGTGGAAGTGCTGTGATAAAACATCATCAAACTCATAAATATTTCTGATACCCTGGGGAAGTCAAAGGCCAGTTTAATTCTTCATGGAATCATGGAATCACGGAGTAGTTTGGGTTGGGATCTTAAAGCATACCCTGTTCTACTCCTTGCCATGGGCAGGGACATCTTTCACTATCCCAGGCTGCTCCAAGCCCTGCCCAAGCTGGCCTTGGACACTTCCAGGGAAGGGGCAGCCACAGCTTCTGTGGGTAACCTGTGCCAGGGCCTTCTCACCCTCACAGGGAACAATTCCTTCCCAATATCAGTCTAGCCCTGCCCTCTGGCAGTGGGAAGTCATTCCCCTTTGTCCTTGTAAATTGTTTCTCTTCATCTTTCCTGTCAGCTCCTTCAGGTACTGGAAAGAATCAGGTCTTCCCGAAGTCTTCTGCCTGATGAACAATCCCAATTCTCCCAACCTTTCCTCGTAGAACAGCACCAAAAGAAATGTCACTGCAGCTTTATATTTTACTTTTTTTTTTAATAAAAAGGAGCCACAGATGGATCCAGCCCTGAATCAATGTTATACTAGCTGTGGGACTTCAGCCACTTCCAAGCACTGGAGGATGGAAACTCCAGGTTGTTTTGAAATGGATTCTGGCCGTGGCCCTGTTGCCGGCAGTGAGTGTTTCCACCACGAGGTGTCTCAAAGGTTAATCACTGCAAGAACAAATTTGGGACTGGCTCTTATCACACACGAACAACAGGCATCGCCTCGCTGTCACATCTCGTTCAGTCTCTTCAGGAAACAAATTGCATTGAGTGGAAAAGGGTTGCGATTGTCTTTGTTGTATCTTGAGTATAAGTGAACTGTGTTTTCAGGAGCTTAATTTTTATCATTCTTCAAAAGAAAGAAAGGGTATAATTCTTCTCCTAATTCTGAAAAAATCTGTACAATAAAAATCAAAACAGAAAAAGGGAGGGGCAGCTCAAACCTCTGCTCTGTGTGACCAGGGACAGACCCAAGGGAAGGGCTGGAGTTGTGGCAGGGGGAGTTTAGGTTGGATATTAGGAAAAGTTCTTTCCCCAGAGGGTGGTGGGGCACTGCCCAGGCTCCCCAGTGAATGGGTCATGGCTCCAAGGGGCCAGAGCTCCAGGTGGGTTCGGGCAGCGCTCCCAGGCACAGGGTGAGGTTGGTGGGGTGTCTGGGCAGGACCAAGGTTTGGACTTGATGATCCCTCTGGGTCCCTTCCAACTTGAGATATTCTGTGATTCTGTGACTCTATGAAAAATCTATGCAACAAAATCTGAAGTCCACGACGTGGCTTTGAATCTTGCCAGATCTAATAAAGGCCAGGGTAAGAGTTTTGCAGCTGCAATATGAGTCTTTATCCTGGTCTTCAAATCAAAGAAAACTGATGCCTGAGCAGGACTTGAAGTAAGAACAACTTCTGTTAACAATCACCTGTTTTGTAAGTGTTTGTGCTGGGCAACTGCCTGGTTTCATATAAAAACAGCCACTGAGGAAGAAAGCTTGGGATGTTCTCCCCAGTATGTTCCACTGTAAACAAATATATCTGAGACTGGAAATTCTCTGTGACACCTGGGGTAAGAGTTGAAGTATTTCTCCATCCTTCACATGGTTCTGTTTATTGGGATGTTCGGTGCACACATACAGTTCAGTTTAATAGGGGCTGTTGAGAGAAGCAAAAAAGGAAGAACTCAAGACCTTTCTTGCCCTCAAAATTTTAATTTATTTAAAAATAACACTAGTGTTACTGCTTCTGAGGATTTTTTCATGCGATACAACTGATCTAAAAATTGAATTAAGCCGTGGTAAGAAGCAGTCCGTGACTAATGAGGAAAAGACCTTAGAGGAATATGACAGAGGGAATCGGGCTGACACGGAGGTGCCCAAAGTTCTGAATGTCTCAGCTGCCTCGAGCACAGGATAATGCTCAGGTAATCCCTGTGTGGATCTCAGCAGGTGATTGATTCAGATTAATTTTTTTCCCTAAACTGTTTCCTCCTGTTATAAACATAAACACAAGACTGACAAGGAGAAATCTGACTTATGTCTGTATTATTAATTGCAGATTGTAGAAGGAAGGAGCAGCGTGTGTCCAAGCTGCTAATTAGGAATAATTACCCCATGAGGTTCTGTAAGTGTCCCTAGTACAAACAAACATGAATCCCACTAACATCCCTTCCCACTGAAGAAGAAATTAAACTCTGGAAGGAGATGCCATGTCTGTACTCCCTGGGCATTCCCTGAACTGTTTTGACCAAGAAGAAAACAGTTTAAGGGCTGTGTGCACAAATTCCAGTATGTCCCAGACCTAGAGGTGCTCAGGAATTTTAACAATCATGAAGCAAAGGGAAGAGTGGGAAGGGAGATCAAAGCAGGGAGGCACCCAGAAGGTGCAGGGTAGAGTCCTTGTCCTGCTGAAGACTCTCCGAAATCCAAGTCTGTGGTGCACTGGTATAAACCTGCCTGAAGAATAGGGATTGCTGCAGAACATTGCATCGTTCTGGGGCTCACCACAGTGTCATGAAGAAGCATGACCTTTGTTAGAATAAAGGAGGAAGCAAAATGGCAACAGCATTACCTGGTACCTGAAGCTGAGGCAGGATGGCAGGAGTGGCCAAGAGCTGCTGCAGTGGCTTTTCAGCTCACAGCAACTTTCCTTGGCACTCAGTGATGAGGGTTCTCCTCTCCCTCCAGTGCTGTTTTCACCTCTCCTTGAGCACAGATTAAATCTGCTCTCCAAGAGGTTTTTCCTCTATACAACGACAAACATACCTGTAGGCTTAAATATAGAAAGCTCTGAGGTTGGGAAGTTCTGTGACTTGACAAGATCATGCAGTCTGGATAAACTGGTCTTTCCCTCCTCTTGCTGCCTGTGTCTCCTCTCTCAGCAGTAGCTGCCCTGCCAGTGGGCAGAGTGATCCTTGGACAGTTGAGCACGTCAAGACTGTCTTCCAAGAGGCTCCAAGAGCCCTCTATTCTCAGTGATGTTAATTGGAGTTAAGGATGCTCCCTGCCTTGCAGGAACACTCAGCACAGTTGTATTACAAAGCTGCCAATCCAGACATGTCCTTGAGCTGTGGAGAGAAATGAGATAGACATAACTAGAATTTATCCCACTGCCCTACAGTTAACAGCATTTATGTCATCTATCAAGAGAATTTAATATTCTATGTTTTTTTTAATATAAAGAATTTAATGTTGTACATCTTCAATTAAAAGAATTTAAAACTCTGTCACATCTTGTCACCTTCTGGCCACGATCCTTTAGATGCAGACCAGAAAGTCAGCTGTGTCCTGGCCTGCATCCAAAGGAGCAAGGCCAGAAGCAAGGGGATTCTCTCAGACTGCCCAGGAGTACTGAATCCAGTTCTGGTGCCCCCAATATAAGAGGAACATGGAAATGTTGGAGAAAGTGCAGGGGAGGGACATGGATTTGATAAAGGGCCTGGAGCATCTTCCCTATGGGGACAGCCTGGGAGAGCTGGGGTTGTTCAGCTGGAGAAGAGAAGGTTGTTTGGAGACCCCACAGCACCTTTCAGGATCTGCAGGGGCCTCCAGGAAAGCTGGAGAGGGACTCTGCATCAGAAACTGGATGACAGGACAAGGAGGAATGGGTTCCCTTTGAGGAGGGGAAGTTTAGGCTTGATTTATGGAAGAAATTCTACCTTGTGAGGGTTGGCAGAAGTTGCCCAGAGAAGCTGTGGCTGCCCCTGGATCCCTGGAAGCATCCAAAGCCAAGCTGGAGAGGGCTTGGAATAACCTGGGACAGTAGAAGGTGGGCAGGGGGTGGAATTGAATGGACTTTAAGGTCCCTTCAAATCCAAACCAGTGTAGGATTCTGAAACAATAAATATGTGGCAAGAATGGGATGTAACTGTTACAGAGAATCCTGTTCTTTCATCTCTCAGAGACAAACATGGAAACAGATATATCAACTCTGCAAAATCCCAGCAGTTCCGAGCTGAGCTCTGGTTAATGTTTGGCTATGCATG